GCTATTCACTTCAGGCCTGTTTGTGGAAACATCGCTGTGAGTAATTGGACTGCTTTGTTTCTTGCGATTATAGGCTCACTACCGTTTACAGTAAAAATTCTCTGAAGCACTTTGAGACTGTTTCAACATTGTGATAAACCGCTCATTTTATTTGATCAAATATTTTATCAAATAAAATGATTATGTTATTATTAAAAAAAAGGCAAGCCAATCTAACTAAGACCCACACAATCTTAAGTTTAAACAATTATCTGATTTAAAGCAGCTCTGCACAAGAATCCTAATTAGCATCTAGTTATGCCGCACTTTAAAGACTGCATTTCAAAACCACTTCAACCCCCATAATATCCATTAAAAACTTTTGTAAAGAAAAAACCCACAAATGTTAACAACCAATAGCTAAGTGCAACAGTTAAGTGTTATTATTCTCAATTATAAATGATTTGTTCACATTTATACAGTATTAGCTAAACCTGCAACCAAAGAATCCAATATGGAAGCAGATTTCAGTGATACCAATCAACAACAACTTGCACTTATATAGCGCCCTCCATGCCGGGTAGCGTCTCAGAGTGCTTAACTGTGGTGGAGCCTGACGACTTCTTTGACCGTGCCGTCAGCACAGTCGAAGAGAAAGGTTTTCTGGTGGGACTTGAAAAAGGGGAAGGAGAAAGGGGGCAAGGCAGAGGGATTGAGGGAGAGCGTTCCAAAGTTTCAGGGCGTAGTGGCTAAAAGTGCGACCTCCGATGATGGGGCAGAGGATGCAAGGGATGAGCAGGAGGTCGGTGCCAGTCGAATGGAAGTGCCGGATGGTGGATTGGGGATTGAGGAGTCGGAGAGGTAGGGAGGTGCCAGAGAGTGAAGGGATTTGAACACTCACAAACCATTCAACATGTCATAAACACTGTGTGTACACCATAAGCAAAATTGCCATACATGTGTGATGAGCTTGTTTATCTTTCCCTTCTGCCCCCTCCCTCCCCCCAAAATCCCTCTCTCACTTCATCACTCTTACCCACGAACGATTATGTGACTCAGCGTATTGGGGGGGGGGGGGGGGGGGCGGGGGGGGGTGAGATTGCATTGAGTTTTTTTAAACCACTCTCTTCCCTCTCTGTGTGTGTCTCCCGATGTATCTCGCTAGAAGGATGCGTGAAGTAGCTCTGTCGCTACTTTGTTGCAGAACACTACGCATACCTTATATTTTGGGGCTTAATTAAAGCATTTTTTAATATAGCTCATCAACGATAGGAGATCCCTGAAAACGAATATGCCCATGGCACTCCTCCTTGCAAGACCTCTCCAATGAGCTATAAATCATATCTCTACGTTAATCGGTTATTGCGTTCTTAGCGGACAGACAGTTCATCTTTATTAGTAGAGATATTGATTACCCTGGTTATAAGCAGATGAGAACAATGCAAAAGGAACAACAACAACAATTTACATTTATATACCACCTTTCACATCAAGAGGATGTCTCAAAGCCCTTCACCCAGCAGACTGGGAGTCTGAGCTGTGTGTGTGTGTGTGTGTGTGTGTGAGGTGGGGGGAAAAGGTGGCTAAAAGTGCAACTAAAAAAATAGGTCTCAAGACATGTTTTGAAGGAAGAGCAATGTGGAGGGACTGGATGGGTTTCCAGAGAGCAGATGGTAGAATGGCTGAGAATGTTCACTAACAATAAAAATAATAATCCTTGCATTTGATACAGCGCTTTATCACATCGTGGAGCCATGTAATACATTGTAAAGTGGTGTGAGTGCAGGTATTTTGTGGGTGAGCGTGGCAATCGATGGAAGAGGATTAATTATAGCTAAGCCTCAAGACCCTTTACTAGAATGACAACAAAGATAAATATGAAATGTCTCATGGTTTTAGCCTTAATATCATTTCCTTGGGATCTCAGATTGCATAATATCTTGGAAAAAGTCCTAAATTCAGTCTCCAATTAATTGAACTGTCTCCTGCAGCCCTTAAAAGTAAAGGCAGAAGCCATGAGTCCATGAGTCGTGGAGTCCTGTAGCTCAGTGGTTAGAGCACTCGCCTTGCAAGCAAGACACCTGGGTTCAATTCCAGGCAGGGTGAAACCTTGGGCTAGTTTCTATACTCCACACGCCTAATAATGATCCCTCCAAAACAAAACAATAATAAATTGGTCATTTGCAATCCACGACTGTTTGTGGGACATTGCTGTGCGCAATTGGCTGCCGCGTTTCGCCCACAAATATGCAGTCAATTCACTTTACAGCATATTCTGTGAAGCGCTTTAAGACGTCGAGAAGACGTGAAAAACGCTATATCAAATGCAAGGATTATTATTATTATTATGAGGAACTTTAGGGGTTTGAAAAAATCCCAGGGTGTTCTCATTTTTAAAAAAATGTTCTCATTTTTAAAAAAATGTTCTCATTTTTAAAAAAAGTTTGCCTTAATTCCCTTTTTTAGAAAATCATTGTGAAGTTGTCTGTTGAGGCATGAAACCATATATTAAAAAAAAGTACTTTCCATATCACAGCCCATAACTCTTACTGAGGTAAAGCAGCTAAAATTACACATCTCAACCGTGTCTTTGGCAATTAATCTAAAGACAATCTTGTCAATGTGAAACAGCGCAGACTTCCATTAATAATAATAATAATAATAATCCTTGCATTTGATATAGCGCTTTTCACGTCGGGAGGACATCCCAAAGCGCTTCACAGAACACACTGTAAAGTGAATTGACTGTATTTTTGTGGGCGAACGCGGCAGCCAATTGCGCACAGCAATGTCCCACAAACAGTCGTAGATTGAAAATGACCAATTTATTATTGTTTTTTGTTTTGGAGGGATTATTATTAGATCTTCCTGCTGCTTAATCATCCTCTTCATATTTACTCTGACAGTCTGACTCATGTTATCTGCTCAGTCTGTCAGACAAGAGATCAGAAAAAGGGAGGATGTAAATGATCACCAACGGTCTCTTGAAAAACCTAATTCAACACAGTGTCAGGCATTGCAAACACAGGTTTAGGCAAAAAGCTTGTCTTTTTATCCTCAAGCCCATCTCTATCGTACAGTCAATCTTTACTTGTGAGGAAATGATTAGAAAGGAAAATCTCAGCGACATTTGCAGATACCAAGTGTGAATTACAGCCCAGCGATGTAAAGTCAGAACTGTCAAGCACTTGGGGACATCCTCCCGATGTGGAAGCTGCTATGTAAATGTACACTGAATTGTGTTATGATGACCATCCTTTTAACTCTAGTTCATAAATGTAGCATAAATGCTATCCCACCCAGTCGAGGATTTAAGGTATAATACCATTCCCAAAGGCAGGAAACTAGAGAACATCTCTACGCACTTCACAAAGTTTCTGTGAACCAAAGCAACAAATTATTAATAATAATAATCCTTGCATTTGATATAGCGCTTTTCACGTCTTCTAGACGTCCCAAAGCGCTTCACAGAATATGCTGTAAAGTGAATTGACCGTATATTTGTGGGCGAACGAGGCAGCCAATTGCGCACAGCAGTGTCCCACAACAGTCATGGATTGAAAATGACCAATTTATTATTGTTTTGGTTTTTTTGGCGAGATTATCATTAGGCTCTGTGTGGAGTAAGGAAACTTGCCCAAGGTTTCGCCCTCTGCCTGGAATTAAACTCAGGTCTCTCACTTGCAAAGCGAGTGCTCTAACCACTGAGCTACAGGACTCCACGTGTCGGTGAATGCGACAGGCAATGTGCACACAGCCATGTCTCCGCAAACAGTTATGAAGTGAGTGATCAATTTTATCTGAGGGATTGTTGGCTAGGACACTCAGAGAAACTCGAGCCATCGATATAAAATAGTCACAAATAGATCAAATCGGGAAGTTAGAAGAAATTTCTTCACACAGTGAGTAGTGGGAATGTGGAACATGCTACCACAAGGAGTTCTTGAGGTGAATAGCACAGATGTATTTAAGGGGAAGCTCGATAGTTACATGAGGGAGAAAGGAATAGAAGGTTATGCTTGAAGGCTTAGTTGAGGAAGGGCAGGAGGAGGCTCATTTGGAGTATAACCGCCGGCTTAGACCAGTTGGGCCGAACGGCCTGTTTCTGTACTGTATATTCTAACGTATTCTAAACTCACTTCTCTTTTCAAATTGTACCACGGGAATTTTAACATCCACCTGAACAGAAAGAAGGGACCTCAGTTTAACATCTCAGTTTAACAGGACAGTTTCTGTGTTGATAATGCAGTGCATCCCAGCAACTCATTGGAGCATCAGCCTAAACCAGTGGTGGACAACCTTTACAGTCGGACCACACAATAAATTTTGTGGATCGAATATTTCTTGATTTATGTAATGAATCAAGAAATATTCAATCAAGAAAAAAATGAAATCATACTAACGATCGAACCCGCAGTTGCCTAGAATAGTGTGAATGTTCTGGCCTGCGAGTCTAAGACCCACCATGGCACTTCTAACTTACAACCTTCTGACTCAGAGGCGAGAGTGCCACCAACTGAACCAGGTGTTCACAAAATACCATTCAGAGGGAAAGGAGTATAACAAGGTCAGATAAGAGCAAGCGAGCTCCAAGGAAAGAGTGCATTTCTTGCAAATAAAAGTTAATAGTGACCAGTGTCAACCACACAAAAATAACTGAGCAGTACATCAACACAATGTCCAAGATCTTCACTAGTTCAATACACATTGGTTAGACTCCAACAGTATCCTAATGCACACTCGAGGGTCCCCAAGCCTTGGCTCTTGCCAACCTGCGCGTAATACTTTCCGTAATTAGGTAAGCAGGATGCATCCCTCCAGGAAGAGAGTACACATTTCATTCCAACAATCTATCTCTGGGGTTTCAATGTGTTGGTGGGATGCGTGGAATTCTCAGTTTGGTTTGGATACCCTTAAGCATAGTGATGAGTTTCTGCGTGTACCAGACACCCAGCTGACCAAAATATAAATACACAGGAATTCACGAGTGTAATCCAATGTTCACCTCTTGTGTAACTTACCATTTCGAGACAGGTCCAACTCCACGAGCTGCATGAAGTTGGCGATTTCCGGTGGCAGTCGCTGGATTTCATTGTCACTCAGCCCGAGTTTTCGTAACTTCACAAGCTGGAAAAACGGCTGAAATGTGCAAATAAAACGTGGGTTACCGCGAGGTTAAAAGGAAAGCCACAGTTCCCTCTGAATAAGCGCAGTGTAATCCCATGAAGTGATTGTCAAACACAAAGCACTTTGCAATTAAAATTGCTGGCTGGGTTTTAACCTTTAAACAACCAGACCCACAACATCGCCCACTCGAGCTACCAGTTAACAAGTGACGCTTGTCTTACTCTTCACGTAGGCTGGTCCTTATGACAATATTACAATAGCACGCTGCCAGCCTCAGCCACTGCATATAAATCAGACATCCCATTGAGGCACTAAATGCACTGCAAGAAACAAAGCAGCCCCATCAGTACTGATTGCACTGTTGGATTGCCATACTTCATTCTACTTACAAAACATACCTGATGCAACATTAAGTTGATAATTAGCTTGTGGGTTAATCATCAAGTTTGCTTTTTTTTGCCAGGAATATTTACGCGTCAGTGTGAGTATTCGCGCCCACTTATGCACCAACTGATATAATCATTAGGTAAAGGTGCCCTGATGCAATTCAGGGACCATTACTTCAGGATGTAAAAGTTCAAGAGTTAAGGATTGTATTTTTTTTAAATAGTCTTCAGTCCCCAATAAACCAATATCAACTAGCGTCAAATATGGAGTCCTCTAGCATATTGGTATTAGCATATTGGTATTAGTATATTGGTGAGAGCACACACCTCGCAAGCGCTATATCAAATGCAAGGATTATCATTGTTATAAATAGCCATGAGACATCCTCCTGACATGAAAGGTGCTCTATAAATGGAAATTTAGTGGAGTCCTGTAGCTCAGTGGTTAGAGCACTCGCCTTGCAAGCGAGACACCTGGTTCAATTCCAGGCAGGGCGAAACCTTGCGCAAGTTTCCTTACTCCACACACCTAATAATAATCCCTCCAAAACAAAACAATAATAAATTGGGTCATTTTCAATCCATGACTGTTTGTGGTACACTGCTGTGTGCAATTGGCTGCTGCATTTTTCCCACAAATATACAGTCAATTCACTTTGCAGCATATTCTGTGAAGCACTTTGAGACGTCGGGAAGACGTGAAAAGCGCTACATCAAATGCAATGATTATTATCATTAAATTTGTTGATGTTCTGAAGGAATAATTCACACACAAGTAACGCCCACTTGGGAAAGGTACTGGACCAGTGGGGTCTGAACTAAACCCACTGGAGCTCTGTAGGACTCGTACCTCTAGTAGACAAGATGTTCTTGCAGCCTGACTTGTGCTGTATTCTAACCAAGTTCCAGGATTAAAGGACTTTGCTGCGCACAGGGCTACTGACCCAGGTTCATTCACGAGTGTTTGATTTCCATGATAACTCCACGATTTCCAGCAGCTTAAATCCAACACATTTTCGTCCAGCTTAAGTGCTTTCATTCACAACTAGGGTGACCATATTTTGTAAACCAAATCCGGGGACACGTATAAAAAAAAATTGAACTCATCACAATTCCTGATTACTGGCAGGAATGACTGAAGAAGCTCGTTGGATTAATGGCTGTATTCTTGATGAGTGCATCTGTTTTAGAACACTCAATTTGTCGCTAAACTCAAGACGGCGCAAATTTGGCCCCAGGGACACAATACCTTATCCAGGGACTGCCTCTGGAAATCGAGGATGGAAAGTCACCCTAACTTACACCAATGTTGCACATGGCCTTGACCTACAGCTCATTGCCTGTTCTAGTCACAAACTGAAAACCTTACCCATGAGGGTCATGGGACGTTTACCTAGAAAATATACAATCACTGTAATAATAATCCTTGCATTTGATATAGCGCCTTATCACGTCTTCGAGACGTCTCAAAGCGCTTCAAGAATATACTGTGCACATTTTGTGGATGAGAAACGTAGCCAATTGTGCACAGCAGTATCCCACAAACAGTCGTGGAGTTTTTTTTAAGGAATTATTATTTATTTTGAAGAGAATATTACACCGGGAAAAGCAATCCACCAATCGACTAACAACCGGGTTCCTACTTACTGCTAGGTAAACAGGGTTGTGTGGAGTAAGGAAAGTTGTCCAATGTTTCACCCTGCCGGGAACTACACTTTACAGTAAAATCCTGGTAAGCACTTTGAGACATCCTCCTGACATAAAAGGCAGTACATCAGATGCATTTAAAAGCATAACAGCGAACAAATAAAATTAACTTTTTACAAGAAGCAACCCCATCTCCACGTGAGATATAAACATAAATGAGTGGGGTATTAGCTGAGAAAATAAACTAGAGTAATGTTATTTCAACACTGTAATTTGCTGAGATGCAAACCTTTTTAGCCTTTATAGCCTGGACTCATAAAACAATTAAATTCCACAGTACACACTCCCTTGTGTGTGTGCTGTACATTTACATTATACAGCTGTAAATGTGCAATAAAACTCCCTCAATAAAATCATCAGTTAGCTGTCCCACTCTCCCTCTCCTTTTTTCCTGGTTCAATCTTCTGTCCTCCTAACATAATTTAGAAACAGAAACATAGAAATCTACAGTGCAGAAGGAGGCCATTCAGCCCATCAAGCCTGCACCAGCTCACAGAGCAGGGATATTGCTTCAATCCAACCACCCCGCCTTACCCCCATACTCGTTCAAGCCCCTCTCTTTCATATACTGATGATTTAACTGTACAAGCGAGAGGACCTGGATTCGATTCCTGGGCGGGGCGAAACCTTGGGCAAGTATTCCTTACTCTACACTCCTGTTTACCGAGCAGTAAGTAGGAACCCGCTTGGGAATTGATTGGCGAATCGCTTTCCCGGGGGTAATATTCCCTTCAAAATAAATAAATAAGTAAATAATAATAATTTGGTCACTCAATCCATGACTGTTTGTGAGACGCTGCTGTGACAATTGGCTGCCGCGTTTCGCCCACCATTATAGAGTCAATTCACTTTACAGTATATTCTGTGAAGCGCTTTGAGACATCTCGAATACGTGATAAGGCGCTATATCAAATGCAAGGATAATTATTATAGGGCCGGGGCTGCCACACATTTTTCTCATCAGACACATCCGACCACACCAAACCGGTGGTGCAGTGTTTACCCAGTACTTAGTACTGGTAAGAGATTAATCATTATTGTTCGCCCTTCAGTGCTGGGTTTCCTCAAAGGTCTGACAATAGCATCCATTCAAACGAACAACAGAACACATTTCGCATTTCTCGCCCTCTCTGTGCTTCCTAAATTACTCACACCAGTTTATTTGTTTGTTATAGAGCAAGTGAATGAACGAGGAGAGGCACGAAGCAAAGTTTGAAGAAAGCAAAGAAGCTGTCACTTTACACCCCACCTCTGGGACCCCCTGCAACTACCAGCTCAGCCTCTCCCTCTGCTCAGCAAATACTGACCTGCTTCATGTCCCCATGCCTGCCCTGCCCTGCCCTGCCCAGCCCGAGGAAGCTTCTCGACAGTCTGCTCCCCCCAACCTTCCCTCCTGCTCTCCGAAACTCCATCCCCGACTCACCCCTCCCTCCCAGTTGTAAAGCCCTCCTTAAGATTGACCTCTTTTCATCCCCACCGCCCGCCCCTCCGCAAACCCTCTTCAGCTTTCCCTCCCACCCCCACCCCGCTCAGCTACCCAACCAGTAAAGCTGTGTAAAGCGCTTTGAGAAGTTGTTCTGATATGAAAGAGACTGTAAATTGCATTGTATTGTTTGAGCAGGATGATAAGGTTTGGCGGCACGCTTTAAGAAAAGTCCCGTAGCCATTTCAAAATCAAAGCATTGCATTTTCTTTCCAAACACGCGCGCTACCGGGTTTTCTCTCTCCCCGCACCCCCACCCCACCCCACCCACCCCCACTTTGGATTACGTAAGGAGATCGTTAAAGTTCACTGATCTGTCACCAGCATCAATTAAGTTGCATGAGTCACAGGCAGTTCCGGTTCATAGAGAACAACGCATGTTGACATTACAGTCAATACACACTCCAAAGGTTGTATGCTTTAAAGCACCAATGATTCTCCTTCTACCTGAGCACTATCAAAGCTTAATCACATTAAATAAACAGTCAATCCATTTTACAATATACTCTGGGAAGCGCTGTGAGACATCTCAATGGTGTGATAAGGCTGTATATCAAATGCAAGGATTATTATGAATCCCTTTAGTGGATGGAACATTGGAAATGTACAACTGTTTCTAGCAAGTCCCAAAGTTTGAAAATACTGCTAATTAGACGATAGAAAATAGACGATAATTTACTTACTTATAATTTTTCAATCACAACTTATATCTACCCAAATTCTTGATGTAGAGTGTGTGGAACACACAGCCAGAAGCTGTGGTTGAAGCAAGAAAGCCTCAACATTTTTAAAAGCAAACTTGGATTTATAATAATAGTTATCTTTGTAATAATAATAATAATCCTTGCATTTGATATAGCGCTTTTCACATCTTCTAGACGTCTCAAAGCGCTTCACAGAATATGCTGTAAAGTGAATTGACTGTATATTTGTGGGTGAAACGCGGCAGCCAATTGCGCACAGCAGTGTCCCACATAGAGTCGTGGATTGAAAATGACCAATTTATTATTGTTTTGTTTTGATATCGTGCTTCATACTGTCATCGGGAAGAGTGGGGGGTGGGACAGGGGATAAGTGGGATCTCCTTGGAGTTGAACTGACTACATGGTGTCATGTTTAATAACAGAATCGAGCCCACCCTCTGTGATGGCCTCTGTGGTCCAGTTCCTGAGCCAGGCCCTCGTGGGCAGCATGGTCCTAGCTATGCTATTTTTGGTGGTTTGACTCCAGCAGTTACTTACCCCAACGAACACTCGGGGTCCCCAAGCTTTGGCTCTTGCCCAACCTGTGCCTAATACTTTCCGAAATTAGGTAACCAGGATGAGTCCCTCCGTTCCATTCCAATAAATAGATCTGGAATTTCCATGTTGGAGTGGTTCCCATGCAATTCTCAGTTTGGTTTGGATAATCTTAAACATGGTGATGAGTTTCCACAT